AGATTTTGAAAATTTGATGAAAGGGTTGATGTATGGGGGAACTTGTCACTATTGAAAAACAAAATGACAGGCAGCAACCTGAAACTCTTTTTGTACAGTTTACTCTCCAGGCTTTTTTTGTCAAGAATTGGATGGCTTTACATACACAATAGGTACCCATCTCCTCAAAACTTTTATAACAAGAATTTATTGAGTTTCTATGAAGGTAGGAAGATAAATAGGACTAGACTCAAATGGAGAACTAAAGAATGTTAGGATTATTCCAATTAAATTAATAAATGGGATAACTCAAAGATGTATATATTCATTCCTTTTTATAAATAAAAGAGATGCTATAAAATTACAAACAAATGCAAATTTTCGAAAAGTGGAAAACTCACTAGCAGCTTTAAGTTCTGGTGTCAACATAATGAAAACTCAAAAACTATCTAGCAGGCTAGAGCAGCCTATTGGAAAGGCACCTATACTTATTTTAGGACAAAACAGTCTGCAGCAGCAATTCTTAAACTTAAACCTTTGTCATAATTGCTTAGAGGGTTTGTTAAAATAGATGGTTAATCCTCCCTCCACTTTCTGAATCTATAGAATTCTCATTTCTAACAATTTTCTAAATTATATTGGTGCTACTGATTTGGGAACCATGGGTTAGAACAAACAACATTTAAACTGAGATATGAAGGGATAAATAGGAGATAGCTGTATTTTATGTTTGTATTGTTTGGAAGAGCGGCAGTGAGGAAGATGAGAGCAAAGATTCAGATAGACAATGCCTACGTGTAATCCAGAGGGATCTGAAGGACTGTGGGAAGGAGAAATTGGTGAGAGATGAGGCTACCAAGGTGAATATGAACCCACATTTAAAAGCCTTTTACATGAGTCAGTCTCCTTATATCAGAGAAAACATTTGGCATTTGTTTTTTGGAATTGGCTATAGTGGGGTAGGGAGGGGAGTATGGGAGGACTAAACGAACTGTAGATAGTGCAGAGGGGTGGGAGGGGAAGGGAGGGGGCAGGGGGGTTAGCACGGATGGTGGAATGTGATGGGCATTATTATCCAAAGTACATGTATGAAGACAAAAATTGGTGTCAACATACTTTGTATACAATGAGAAATATGAAAAATTGTGATGTATATATGTAATAAGAATTATATTGTATTCCACTGTCATTTATTTTTTTAAAAAATATTTCAAAAAGCCTTTTACATAGGACAGAGGCACCTATGATTTGGGTTAAAACACATGGAAGAATTGTAAACATGGGAGCAACATGATCAGAGTAGAATATGGAAGGATCATGTGGCTTCAGCATAGAATATGGACTAAAGGTGGGTAGGCAAAACCAGTAAGGGCAATTCAAGAATTGTCTATCACTATACTTATCTGCTACTGCTTTCTCACTTCTTACACCTTTCTGGTTTGAAACCATATGACTTCACTGTAAGGACTTGTACTTAGATTATTAATTAACTTATCCATATGCAATTGGTACCATAGGAAAAAGGTAGTGGCCAGGATTTATATAGTGACAGTGAGGATGGAAGAAATAGAATTTGAAAGATAATTAAGACATAGAAATTAATTTATTGATGATTCATTTTATTTCTAGAATGTAGGTGAGGAAAAAAAAATCAAAGTTCATTCCTAGGTTTTTACTTTGTGCAGTTAGGTAAGGTGGGCAACAGAGACAGATGGGTTGAAACTGGGCAGAGTAGAAGGAAAACTGATTTTATTTGGGGACCTGCTCATGTCCAATAGACCATTGAGTATATAGATATTGAGCTAAGGAAATTAGTCTGAACTGATGATATAGATTTGGGACTTATTAACAAATAGTTGGCAAGTGAAATGTGGTAACAGATGGAGTTGTTTAGGTGTGACATAGAGAATGAGAATAGAAATTGTGACATTTAGGAGATCCTTGAAAAACACTGCCATTTAAAGGGAAGTCTGAGGAAGAGGAATCTGCAATAGAAACTAAAAAGGAGCTGACAGGAAGAAATTAAAGATAATGTGACACAGAGGAAGCTGTGCACTTCAATCATGCCAAAAGCTGAAAAGAGATCACATAAAATAAGGAGTTAACAGTACCAACTGCATATGCATAAGTTAATTAATAACTTAGTACAAGTCCTTACAGTGAAGTCATATGAGTTCAAACCAGAAAGGTGTAAGAAGTGAGAAAGTAGTGGCAGATAAGTATAGTGATAGACAATTCTTGAATTGCCCTTTTTCTTCATCATTTCAGCATTATTTCCATGCATTTATCTATTATTAACAATGATGGCTAAAATTATACTTTAAATATGTCTTCATAATAAATTCTGGAAATATCTAGCAGTTTTCTCATATATGCTTCTTCAGAAATAGTAAGTCTTCTGAACAGATGGTTTCCTAAAGATTTACCTTTGAAAAAATAGTGGAAAGGTCATCTACATTGGAAGTTTAATGACTGTATTTCTTTTTACAGCTGGATTTCATAAAAACACATGTCTAAGTATTCTTTTTTAGAATTTGGATTCTAGGAGTGAGCTTGTATAAACTAACAAGTGCTCATATATTTTAAAGGTATAGCAGAAGGTTCTCATTTTACTTTAAGGTAGTGCTAGAAAAGTACATCTTATCCCATGTTACAAAAACCAATATACTGAAATACATAGGTTTAAATACATACTTGTATAATACTTCCTATTATTTGAGAGCCAGTAAAAACAATCATGAGGGCTTGGTCTTAGTTTTTGCTTTTATATCTCTGGAGATGAGATTATAGGATCTATGGCAATCTTGAATTCTCAGGATGTACAATAAATACCCAAAGGGTCATGTGGGAAACATCAACATTTCTGATAATTTAGAAGTAGAATTTCTTGATTAAAAGATTACCAAAATTAGATCTTATAGATTCACTCTGCAATCAAAGTTCATTTGATTAAGGAAATAGTTATTTAATGAACTCACTATTAACTGAGTTTTAGTGTTTCAGTGAGGATTATAAAAATCTTCCAGTGTTAGAAAATGATTTATTTTCTACATTTTGCCATGGAAATAAAATGTAGATAATAACTACTTTTCTCTAAGGCAGTGTTTTTTCAACCTTATAAAAATTCCTTGTATAACTTGAAACTCCCTAGGAGTTCCTGGATATCAGGGATCAAACTCTTCCTTCCAAGCAGTTCTACCCACCATCCTCAAAGATAACTTGTATTTTTCTGCTTATACTTTGTGTTTCCCTTCAACCAGAATACCTCTACCTTGTTTATTTTCTCCCATTTCTATGCATTGATATCTATCAAGGTTCAGATTAAATACCACATGTTGTATTAGGGTAGTAGACTTACTAGCTACATACAACATGTACTATTTATATTGTTTCAAATATTAGCAATTTCAGACTTATTTTGAGTTAGATTGCAAGCTTTTAGAAGACAATAATCATATCTTATGCCTCCCTTGTTGCCCAGGTAGCTAATGCATGATTGTTACTATTTGTTCATTATAATTATCCTGTAGATATTCTAATTAAGAGTAAAGCTAGAATTTATAATAGTATTTTTCCCTAGATAAAATATAGAAGACCAGAAAAATAGGTCAGGTTTTCTCTGTTGAGAGCCTTAGTCATTCCCAATTTAGAACTCATCCAGTTATAACCAGAAATGATTATATGTTCACAGTCGTGCATGCCTAGTGAAACATGCATAGCATGTTTCTCCTGCAGAAATAATACTGGAACTTGCAAAAATATTAATTTTCCAAAATATTTCTGCCATTTTTTGTGGAGTTCTTTTGAGTCTTTTGATCTGCTAATTACAATGAAAGATTTCTTATCCAAAATAATTAAAAGTAATACTTGGTCAATTCATTTATAAGGTTGGTTAAACAAAAAGGCATTATGTAATACTTTATCACTCTTTGAAATAAGGCCTCTTCTTTGACTATGGGTCTCATATTTAGATTTTTGTTGTTCTCTTTTTAGCCTAAGTCACCAAAATGCATTATCTGCTACACTATGTTGTAGTAGTTACATTGGATTCATGATGTGTGGGTTCTTTAAATAGGAATAAGAATCTAAAAATTGTTTTGGAAGAAATCTGAATGTAAAATCTTCCTAGATTTATAAGTTTATGGACTATCCCTATATGTTGATTTAAGTTAAACCAAAATTTTGTGAAAAAAAACTGTCAGACTGGTGGTAAAGAGTTAAAATCAGCTGAGAATATTCTATGGATGAAAGTGAAGAATGAAGATAAAGGATTCCTATAATAAGGTTGGATTTTGACTTGCTACAATATTTAAATGAGGAACAATTCTAACATAGCATTTAATCCAATAGTTCTTAACACTGGCAGTTTGAGTCATATATACAGAAAATACTCCAAATTTTTAAAAATCACATTTCTTATATCATCCCAATCTCCTTCATTAATGTAATGATCTAATGCAATTAACCTAGTGCTTAAATATCCCTCATTATTTTTATAATTATTTATTATTATTTTTGGTAATGCGATAAAATGACTGTGGAATTTTGTCCAGAAAATACTTTTGATGATACTGTTTTATGAAAACAAACAATTGGTTCAAGGAAGAATTTAACTTAATATAATATTTTAAAAGCCAACTACTTACTTTCGGAACTATTTTTGATCCTCCAGAATAAAAAACATTACCAAAATAAACCCTGTTATTTGGGTAATGTTTTTCTACATATTTTTCTAAGTCTTCAGAATTTTTCTTGAAATAATAAGACATATTCAAAAGAATTCCATCAGATATGAATTTGTTGACCCAGTGGCTTCTAATGAATATATTTGTTCAACTATTGGAAGGTAAACTAAAATGAAATAAAAATATGAACAAAGTGTTTCTGGTTTTTCTCATGTTTAAACTTTGTACACTTGAATTTTGGTGGCTTTAAATTTTAGATAGAAAAATAAGATATTTTATTTTAGAGTTTTACTTTCTGTTAGGTTTACTTTCACGTTTGATCTTCTGTGTTTCTAGGGTTTTGAAGGTGTTTCTTTCACGAACAGCACAACGAATTCCATACATGACTGGTGGCCGGGTCATGAAGATGCTGGCAGTAATACTCTTGGTAGTATTCTGGTTTCTCATTGGCTGGACTTCATCAGTATGCCAGAATTTGGAGAGGCAGATTTCACTTATTGGCCAGGGGCAAACATCTGATCACCTCATCTTCAATATGTGCCTCATTGACCGCTGGGATTACATGACAGCAGTTGGTATGTGATAACTGGTTCCATGTGATTGTCTTGTCCTTTTTTTTAGTAGCATTAAAATTGACTTCTTTAAAGCTTTGCCAAATATTTTCATGAAACATAAAGAAATTTTACCTAATATGGTCTTGGTTGAACAAAATTATGAAAATGAGCCTGATGACTTATGGAATACAAACTTTTTCCAGAAGTTTCCATTCTTTTTCAAAGGTATGTAGCTTTGTTAAAAAAAAAAACAAAACATAATCAGGTAAATCAGAATTGAGAAATGCTGTGAATAAAGGCAAATTTTATGTGCATAGAGATTTTCTGTTTTCCATCTTATCAATTGGCCTCCACTTTGATTACTAACTGTTATTATCTTGACTTATGTGTTTAGTTGGAAGAAAAAATAAGAAGCATGTCAATATTTTTCTATACTTTTAGTCCTGTGAGATATCAGATTTGGTATGTAGAGTACTTTTTGTGAAGAGATTGCCTCTGCAAAACTTCAGATTCATTATTCTTTCCTATGCTTATCTCTAAAGAAAATTTATCAGTTGTTCTCTAGAGATTCAGTATTACACAAAGATCAAGCCATGCTATTGGGTAGGGTTGCCAGTGGTATGTGGCAAAGAAACTGGAGAAAGTAGAAGAACCACATCATGACTTAGGTTAAAAATACTTTTCTGGCACTCCAATTTTTAAAAAGTAATAGAGATGTAATACAGAGATAACAATACAGAGACACAAAAAACAAATAATAAAAGAAAATTCTTTGTTATTTTGCTGTTGTTCCCTCAATAAACGTAGAACAGTACTTAACTTTGAGGGTAATACACAAAAAATACAGGGGTTGGGGTTGTGGTTCAGTGGCAGAGTACTTGCCTAGCATGTGTGAGGCACTGAGCTTGATTCTTAGCACCACATATAAATAAATAAAGGTCCATCAACATTTAAAAAATACTAACATTAGATACAAACATATCTAATAAATATGTATATTTATTAGATTACAATTCAAATGTAGAATATTTTTCTGGGCAAAATATTTTAGAATTCTATGAAACTGAATCTCTAAAATGAAGTAATGTGGGCATATAAAGGGAAGGGTTATAATTACAATATATTTACTTTATCATTGTATCTTGAACGATATGGCTTTCAGAAAATAAAGCATAAAGTAAGGTAGAAAGCAATTCTGATTTGACTTGAGTATTATCATGAAAATAAACCAATCAGTATAAAATTTCTACATGGTAGAAGCTTCTGACTCCTTATTTTATACTTTTTGGTGCAAGTTAACCAAAGTAAGAAAAGTCATTTCCTTGTATTGTTATAAAGAAAAGGTCCACTAGTTTTCTGCTATTTTATTAAAAATAAAACTCAAAATACACGTGTAACACAAACAAGCAGATAGTATAACCTATCTACCTGGAATTTTTTACACATTGGCTTTAAGATGTCAAGAACTTTTTAAAGTTTATATTGCTCTCTGAATAGTATATATATATATATATATATATATACTATATATAAATATGTATATATATATATATTTCTATATGTAGACATATATAGGAATATAAAATTGACAACATTCTGTAATTCATCTTATATAAACTTTATTGAAAACTAAGAATTATATACCATTAACAAGATTCACTGGGTACCTATAGTTCTTATAGTGCTGTGTTGAACACTTTTGTGGAGATATACAATGTTTAAAGACCGTATTTCTTTCATCAAGTCACTTACCATTGGTTAATGTAAATAAATAAGGTTTGTCACAAATTATTAAGAAGCACAATTACTTGTCAAAAACTCTTTATGCATTAATAGTTCAATTAAGGAAGGCAAGAGTTTGGACCAAAATCAAGAAATCTTTATAAAGAGGCTCCTTGAGCCATGGATAATATTTAGGCTATTAAAAAGAGGTGTAAAGAACATTCCATTTGATAGGAATAGTGGCAGATGGAGGTGGGTGGGAATTGTATGAAGCATGAAGGAAATGTCTAAGTAGAAAAGAGTTGAAATACATTGTATTTGTAATGATGCTAGATGGCTGTTTATTGAAAATATTTAAAAGGAGTTTAAAAACCAGGAAAGTGATATGAGGTATCAGTAAATTCAATCTTGATTGCTTTCAGGATGTGTTTTTTTAAAAAGAGAAATGTACCAAATCTAGAGTGTGGGTTGGAATTATTACAAGGAGAAAGCTTTAAAACACTGATCCTGAAAGCATGGCCCCATGAGCAGCATCACCTGGGAACTTACTAGAAATGTAGTTTGGGGCCACATTCCAGACTTTCTCAGTCAGATGCTCTGGGACCTAGAGCCCAGCAATCTGTGCTTAATAAGCACTCCAGGTGAATCTCACAGTTCTCTAACATATAGAAACACTTACTCCAAGGAAGTAATCAGATGAACTTCCTACAATATAATGATCACTAATCTCAGTCCAACTCTGGCTGTTTCATAACATTCTTACAGTTCTCCCTGATGAAGGACCCCTGGAACATTCTTATAATAATTGTTTCAAGTCTCATGTCTTTCCTCCAAACTGTCCATGTTTCTTTTTCTCTTTGCAAATGACCTCTGCTTGAAAAAGAAATAAATAAGAGCTATCAGATCTTAAAATTCTTGCCTATGTATCTGGAAATCTTCTTATATCCATACTTACTCATATCTTTTCTCCCACACATGATGTTAGCAGACATCTAAACCTGTGCCACTCTCAACCAATACTTTAATCCCTTGATTTCCAGTGATCTCTCCTACTTTATATTACCTTTTTGCCATTTTAAGCTCTCCTACTTCCACAATCAATCACTGAAGAATTCCATTCTGACCACAATGTTCCTAACTCATTTGCTTAACTACTACTCGTCCAATAGCTATACAGTATCACAGAACATATTCATTTTACAGTCACATGCCACGTTATAATGTTTGGGTTAATGGCAGTCTGTATATTCAACAGTGATCCCATAAGATTATAATGGAGCTGAAAATTTATTACCTACTGATGTAGTAGCCATCAAACATCATGGTTCAGCACATGACTCATGTGTTTATAGGGATGCTTGTATGAACAGACCTATTCTACTGCCAGTCATTTGCCATATACCATTATGTACAAAAGCTAAAATTTGATAATGATCATAAATGACTGCTACTGGATTATGTATTTACTATAAAATACTTTTCATTGTTATTTTAGAGTATGCTCCTTATACTTAAAGTTTACTGCAAAACATTATGCTGTGTTGCTTGAGAAACAGTTTTATTCATCTCATTTTTACTGAGTCTCTTGATGCCACATCAAGTGACTAACCTATCCATATATGCTTGTGTAAGTACACTTCATGGTGTTCACATAATGATAGAATTGCCTAACACATTTCTCAGAATGCATCTCCAACATTAAGCAGTGCATAAGTATACATCCACTAAATTCTGCCTTCCTTCCAAGAAAAAAAAACTTAAATAGGTAGAAATTTTTTTCTACTAGTGAGAAGGGAACTATAAAAATCAATGGGTATTTTTTATACATCAATTCTGGATAATTCTGGGAAAGAATACCTAGAGAGCAAAGGGGACTGATCCTACTTCCCATTTCTGAGGGAGGTCACTCAGGACAGAATGAAGATGCACAGCTTGAGAGGGCTGCAGTGAATTCAGCTCCTTAGCTAGAACCAGGTCTCCATTCAGGTAAGAAGGTTAGAGAAACTAAAAGAGACGAATGATGGAGCCAGAGTTTAGGTCATGACTTTAGGAATTAGGCAGAAGTAGCAAGACTTGAGAGACAGGAATTCAAGCACTACTCCCAAAGGTGTTAGGTGATAACATTAGGATCTCAGAAAACCAAGACTTTAGTGATAAGGGTACAGGGACCTAGAAGCAAGAGGAAGTTAAATTGTTGGGTGGTGATGTTTTCATTATCTCCCTATCAGTGTCTTTGTCCTGTCAATTTAGGACTGTTGAAAATATGAGCCAGGAGGTTGCTGTAATTTTTTTTTTTTTTTGGTACTGAGGATTGAACCCAGGGACACTTAATCATTGAACCACATCCCCAGCCCTTTTTATTTTGAGACAGGGTCTTGCTAAGTTACATAGAGCCTCACTAAGTTGCTGAGGCTGGCTTTGAAGTTGCAATCCTCCTGCTTCAGTTTCCTGAGCCGCTGGGATTACAGGTGTGTGCCACCATACCCCACTGCTATATTTTTTTACACTATCCTGTATCAATTTTCATGTATTTCTCTTTCAGCATGTAACATTAAGATATTCTACATCTAATCTCTCTTAATTTGATTTTTTCCAATGTGTAGCAAAAGCCTCTTTTTTAGTTCTACATACCAGTTTCTTAAAGTAGCTGTTTGCCATTAGATTTTTTTAATATTCAAGAATAAATTTATATATCTTCAAACAACTTGAAAATCTATACTGAAAGATAAATTTTCCTTCCAATTTTGTGCAGAAATGTTTTTATATAAAATAAAGGCTGTGGAGAGGAAGAGATGGGTTTTACCTTGAGACTGTGGGAAATCACCAAGAAGTTGTGTAAACTCTCATTAGTTTCAGGAGTCAATTAAAAACGAAAGAAGGAAAGGAAGGAAAAGGAAGGGAAGGAAGGAAGAAGAGAGGGAAGGAAAATATATTAGCAAGCTTTAATCTGGGTCAGCTTTACCAGTATAAAATGATGTGATTTATTAGTACAAAATAAATGACTGGAAGAGCAAAATTCTCCTTTTTCCACTGAAGAGAGCTCTAGTTAGAAATGTAGATCATAAGCCTGACACAATGGTGCATGCTTGTAATCCCAGTGGCTCAGGAGGCTGAAGCAGGAGGATCACAAGTTCATAGCCAGATCCAGCAACTTAGTAAGGCCCTAGGCAACTCAGTAAGACCCTGCCTCTAAAGAAAAATATTAAAAGGGCTCAAAATGTAGCTCAGTGGTTAAGTAGCCCTAGATTCAATCCACACTACAAAAACAATGTAGACCATAAAATTAAAGAATGATCTTT